GTATATTTATAATTATTTATATATAAGATAGTAAAGAAAAATAACAATGGAAATAAAACAAAAAGTAATTGTAATACATATAAATAAATGCATATAAATAATGTATACAAAATAAATAAATACTAACATTCTAAAATAAAATAAAAAATATTACAAATAAAACTACTCCAAAATAATCATAACATATACAATTACTTTTGAGTGTTTAGATAAAACTAGAAAAAAATGTATAATATATACATATAAATTATAAATATAAATATAATGGCTTGTCAAAATCTACATAAACTACTAAAAAAATACAAATATTACAAATAAAAGAAAAGGTTGCTGATATACACAAACTAGTAAAAACAATAAATAAAATAGTACAAATTAAATACCTACACTTGTACCATCTACTAGTTTAACTCATACTCGGTATGCAAAATATATGATGGATATGATAATCATTTGCATGAGAACACAAATATAATCCAATACGAGTATTTTCCCCATGAGAAGTTTATTAAACCATCCGGTTCATCTGCTAAACGAGGAACATCATCTTCTGATCAACATCACAGACTGTACTTCACATCCACACCGAAACAACAGCCGTGACGAGCTAAGACGATATTAATCTTTTCGATATTAAGTCTTTATTATCACTTTTTATCAATTTAACACATCTTTGCTGAATAAAAGTATTAATTTCTTTCAAAAAAAGAAAGAACATTTTTTTTACTGACCCCAAGCTTTTGAACGCTAGTATATTGTTACAAAAGATTTCTATTTTGAATAAACGCTGTTCTTTTGAACTTTGTATTAATCAAAGAATACTGAAAAAAGTATCACAGGCTCCAGAGAAATATTAACAGTTTCCAGCACCGATAATAAATCAGAATATTATTATGATTTCTGAAGATCATGTGACACTGAAGACTGGAGTAATGATGCTGAAAATACAGCTGCGCATCACAGAAATAAATTATATTTTAAAGCATATTAAAATAGAAAACCATTATTTTAAATTGCAATAATATTTCACAATTTTACTGTTTTTTCTGTATTTCTGATCAAATAAATGCAGCCTTGAAGAGCAGAAGAGACTTCTTTAAAAAACATTAAAAATCTTACTGATCCCAAAATATTGAACGGCAG